GTCATCTATCCTCGGAAGTGGGTAACGGTTCTTCACCGTTACTTTGTTCAACTCCCGATAATCAATGCACATACGATGCGACCCATCCTTCTTCCTCACAAATAAGATCGGCGCTCCCCAAGGCGAACTGCTCGGCCGAATGAAACCCTTGTCTAACAGCTCCTGAAGCTGTGTAGACAACTCCTGCATCTCAGGGGGAGCAAGTCGATACGGTGCTTTGGCTATCGGAGCCGCACCAGGAACTAGGTCGATCCTGAACTCAACCTGCCTCTCTGGAGGTATCCCCGGCAAATCCTCGGGAAACACATCCGGGTAGTCACGAACAACAGGAACATCATCAATCGCCGTCTTGCCCTTCTCCCGGGCATCCAAGACGTAAGCTACAAAACCGGCGCAACCCTGCTGAACATAGCGCCTCGCCCTCGCGGCGGAACAAAAGATCGGTCCTCGCTGGGGCCTCTCGCCCTGAATCACTATCTCTCCCCCACTGGGAGTGCGAACCCTCACTAGCTGTAGCTCACAATCAATCACCGCCCCATTGGGGCTCAGCCAATCCATGCCCACAATAACTTTATTCCCACGCAGGGGAATAGGAACCAGGTCCACTGAAAACTGCTCATCAAATATCTGAAGGGAACACCCTCTATGTACTCTGCCGACCCTCACGGTCCTATCATCTGCTATCTCAACCTCTAGTGGACAATCCAGCTCCCCTGGAGCTCTGCTAAATCTCTTGCTAAGCGCAAGCGATACAAATGATCGGGTAGCCCCCGAATCGAACAATACCAAAGCAGGGATGCCGTTCACCGAGAACGACCCTAAATAAAACATATCATCAAGTAATATTCAAGAATATAATAACAAAAGATGAAGGAAAGATTCATACCCGTCACCACATCAGGAGTCGCTCGCGCCTCCTCTGCTGTCATCTGAAATGCCCTGCTCTTCGCCACTGGCGCATCAGCTCGGCCCTGCCGGCCATCCGTAATCCTCAGGTGGCAGGGGCAGGTGCAACCACCTTCCCTGCTGCAGCTAAACTGGGACACTGGGACCTTTTGTGTCCCCTCTGATTGCACTGAAAGCAAATCAGATCTGATGCTGTAACCGTAGTAGCAGGGGCCGTACAATCCCTACTCATATGCCCAGTCCGACCGCACTTGTAGCAGCCGGAACTCCCTGCCTTGCACGCCCCTCGTGCAATCTCCCACACTTGCCACACCGACCGTGGCTCTGCTGACCCTGGACCTGTGATCTGAAACCTTGGGCTTTTTGCCCACACTGCCTAACCCGAAACCGCCTCCGGTTTCCTCTTCTTCTCCATCTCGAGATCAATCTCCTCTCTCTGGCTCTAGCAATCATGTCGTCCAGTGTTTTGCAACTGGACCGGCTCACAAACATACGAATGTCACTCCGCAACATCTCATGATAACGGGCCTTCTTCATCTCCTCATCGGCTGCATACTGAGGAACAAGAAGGGCCCTCTCCCTGAACTTGGCGGTGATCTCCGCCACTGTCTCGGTAGTCTGGGTAAGATCCTGGAACTCCCTAGCTAACTGTTGCACCTCAATGACCGGTGCAAACTCCGCTCTGAACCTGGTAGAGAAATCAGCCCAGGTCATGGCATCCAATGCCGCATCATCCCCGATGGCATGTCCGACCTCCTCCCACCAGTCTCGTGCCCTGTCCTTCAGAAGACAGGACGCCAATCTGACCTTGTCCCCCTCGGGACATCTGCTAGTGCGGAATGCGTTGGCCACATCCGCCAACCACCTGGTACTCGCTATGGGGTCCCGCCCCATGATAGTCAGGAGCCCCATGCCCTGAACTCCCTGAACGTAAGTGTGCGCGACCCATCACGGCCGCCATCTCAGCACGGAAAGTACTCAATCTCTCATCCATCAGCTCTAAAATACCCTCCTTGATCGAACCGAAGATCACAGGAGTCTGCTCTAGTATGATGCGGGTAACCTCAGAAGAAAGGAACTCCCTAGTCTGCTCATCCATCTGCCCGACCTCCGGGCCTGATCCCGATCCTGATCCCCCTCCGGCATCTGAACTGCCGGCTGCTGGCCTCGGACGCAAAACTACCATTCTGAAACATATCATAACAACATCAGAACACTGAAATATCTCAAGGGATCATGATACTACTACTAGCTTCCTGGTCTTGTCTTGGCCTTCCTTAATTCGAGTACGGATCCTCTGCTTTCAGTAGTATGGGCCCCTACTACCTTCCACATCTATCCGTACTTTCCTCAAGAACTGCCTTGACTCCACCAAGTCACTTCTACTACTGCCATTCTCTGCTACTCTCATCCTAGGCTTGCCCTAGAGGAAACTCAAGCTCAATACGACTGGTCCTCAGCTGCTGTAGGTCTCCTCGTACTGCCAGTTAGCCACCACCTGAACACCATCACATGTGATGAGGATCGGATAATCCTTCAAGTAAAAGATCCGTCCCTACAACGGTTGGACTCAAACAAGAGCTGCGCAGTAGGGCCAGTTCCAGCACTCTGGGATTATTCAAACCTGATTACATGTGGTGTAACGTGTCCACCTAATGGCTAACTCCCATTACTCGGAACCCCACCAAGCACGAAGCAAGCAGCATTCGGATAAGGGAAACAGACTCAGCAAAACTATTCTTATACAAGAAACTGTACTAGCATAGGATGCTAAGCTCATACTATCAGGCATAACCTAAACAGGCTATCCTACTGCTGTCTACTCAATTCTAGCATGCAATATTCATAAAGCTGTAACACATAAGCAGGCACATAAGGCATACCCTAGATCCTTAGTCCTACACTAGCATGCTGTTCTACTGAAACTGAAACTGAACAATAATTGTATGGGTAATTTGGGAGTACTTACTTGAGCTCGGCTGACCGCATGCACACACCTCTATCTTGTTAAAACAATTCTTTT